GCCATTCTTCGGGACGAGTCGAATTCACCGTTCGATGTCAGTCGAGAAGGAAAGGAAGCGTATCAGCCGTTTTGGAAAGTGTTGCAAAAAAAAAGAAAAAAAGATCCAGCCATGACAGCAAATTATATAGAGCGAAAGTGTAAACGGCCCCCCTCTCTGACCCGTTACTAGCTCCCCCTCCCCTTCGTCCCGATCTGCCGTTCTCTCTTCACGCCTCACGTCTCTGTCACACCCGCGCTCACTGTTGCGCAGTTTTCGAGGTCACCTCAAGTTCATCATCGATAATAGCACAAGGCGAAAACAAGCAGCTAGACCTGGGCGTCCCCGATAAGTACATACTACAGATAAAAAATACCGTCGGATTTGGTTCAGAAACGAACTTTCGTTTGGCCTTGGGAGGCGCCGCGTACGCGGCCGAAAGTAAATTGCCAACGCGGATCGTTGGCTACCCGAAACCAAACGAAACGACAGAGTAAAGGCTGAGAGAGGGAGAGAGAGTGACGAAGAGGATTCAGACGAAGAAGAGAAGGGGGAGAAAGAGAGAGAGAACGAACGAGAGATGAGTAAGTATCGAGTAAATAGACGTATGCAAGGAGGACTCGCGGACGTCACGTAAGCAAGAGGCAGACTTTTGCACACCATCGGAATCACCAACGTCGACAGATGGCAGCATGAATTCCGCGTTTCGCAAACAGGCCATTAGCAAACGTTACGTAACCCGAAATTTCTTTCCTCCGCTACCTAGCTTTCTCGTTTTTTCCTCTCCCTATCCCACCACCGAACACGAGTTTTCCAGTCACGATACGGAAAAAGTGCAAGGAAAATCCTCTGCAAAATTCCATTCGCCGACGGTGCAAGTACATATGTATGCTTGCAAGCGAAACTTTGGTTCGCGATTCCCCATAGAAATTTGCCCGAAAAAAAAAAACAACGTGAATTTTGCATCGACGAAAGAAAAGTTAGTTGAAAATCGAAGGTCGCCGGTACGGGGCAAGTGAGCGCGAAATTTGGTACGATAGCGTACACGTACACGAGAGGCGGATCGCGAGAAACGAAGCGCTTGGACCGCTTTCGTGCGAAGAATTCGGTCGGCCATTAAACAGGCCGAAGGAAAAACGAGGAGGCGAAGAAGAAGAATACGCGGAGCGGCATGTCCGGCACTGGGAACACGTCCCGTGAAATAAATATTTGCTCGATGCGCTGCAACGCGCCCTCTGATACAAAGAGACAGAGAAAGAGGATAAAGTGCTCGACTCCGGAGCCCGGCACCCGCTATTTTTATGCGGCCGGGTTTTACAACAGGTTACCGCGCGCGGATGCAGGCGTTTCGCGGAAAAGAGCAGAAAACGGGAGGAAATAAAGGAAAAAGGAAGAGAACGTCGAGAGAGGAGAACAAGAGAGAGAAAATGGTGGCGGTGTGTACTGCAGTTGGTCTCGCTACTAGCTACGTATCCGGTTTTTAAACAATTTTAGCGTCGGAGCGGGAAAACGGGCTAAGAATATCTAGGCCCGGGGAAAGAATTTCTCCTCTCTTTGCGATAATGACATCGAAACCGGGCGAGAAACGCGGGCATAGACGGAGGCCGCGAGAAACAGAGAGAGAGAGAGAGAGAGAGAAAGGAGCAGAGAATGAATAGATTTAAAATTAGACCGCGATAAACGCATCTTTCTCCGAGTGTGTCGGCTCTATGCAAAACTTCTCTTAGGCAACGCTCAATAAACGAGGCGAGCCGCGACCTCGAAGAAGAAATACGATGAAGCTCGTTCAACGACCATCCTTCTTTTTCTCTTTCTCTCTCCTTCTGCCTTCGAGGCGGTACAATTATTTTCATTTCAAATATGTTACGCGTGAAATTCACCGGTTTCGGGTGGTAAAAAGTAAACGTATACCACACAGAGGAGCGTAGAGTGCGAAAGGTTAACACGATCGATCGTATAATTTCCATTGTTTCGCGCGATTTCCTCTCGACCATCTTAAGCCGTGCATTTCTAAATGAACTTTTCGTACAGGAGAGATATGTGTGGTGCGACAGAAAGTTGGAGCAACAAATTCGTCCGTGTAATTTTTCCACGAAGAATCCCGGCTAGAAACGTGCAGAGGACACTCTGCCATATGCTCGCAGCCGGCTTCTCTCTCCGTTCGTTGGAATAAAAAGATCGGGGAACGGCAGTTGAGCAGCGAAGAGAAGCGAACGAAGACAAAGAAGCTCTCGTTGGTCTAAGGCTGGTGATCGCGCGACAAGTGGTCGTGTACGTTGTACTTTCTATCTGGCACGATTGTTTTTTACGTAACCAGCCATTACGAATTAAAGACGATTAAGGAACGGACCCGAGCGCGCTATTTACCGACGCGAATGAAATTTCATTTTATCGGCGGTGCAGAGTGCAAACGCCTTCTCTAAATCGATCTACCAAATCTCTACATCTTCCCTCCTCCTGCTTGCCAATTCACATTTCTAAAGAGAGAGAGAGAGTAGTGTACAATCCGAAATCTTAATAATTTCACTCGTGTGCAATTACCCGACTAAAAGATTTAACCTCGTTAATGAATAAATGCTATTCGAAAGTCTTATTGTCGTTAACAAACGAGACGAGGAGTAGGCGGAAAGTTTCGCGGGACCGACGACCCTGCGACACTATCTCTTGCCCGTTGAACGGCTGAAACCTTGCCAAAATCACGTCGTTGCAATACGTTCCAGTTCGAACCGAGAAAAAAACAGGAAAAAAATCGTCCGTCGCGATAGATAGGCACCGTATGTATACGGCAAGCCTTAGTCGAGATAAAAATGTGAAAAACAAACGCGTATTCGGCGTACGAATGTGTACACCGTCGTTGCAATTGCCCGATTAGAAGGTGTACACACACACACACACAGGACGCGCGTACGTTCGATAGAAATGCGTACGGGTGAAATTTTCGCGGGTATGATGCGCCGTATCGTTTTTAACAGCTCGTCCAAACAACCCGTCTATTTTTGCGTCGAAACGCCGCGCAACGTCCTCTGCTTGTTCGCTGCGTTTTGTTGTCTCGCGCGCAGCAGAGGGAACCGAGAGACGTACAGAGAGCAGCGGAGAGAAAGAGAAGAATTTTTCGAAAAGGAAGACGCGCGTTGAGAGAAAATATACAGCGGGTTAGGCTGCGGGTCGAACAGCTTCGCGAACCAGCCACCGTGTATAATTTAATGTGTCTAATGATTCGCAGTGCGCCGCAAGAACGTGAGTGGCGTACCAAGGTCGTCGTATTTTTAGTTAGGCCAATGTTTAGTTGGCCACGTCGGAGATAGAGGGACCTTGAATTTTGCGGATAACATCTGCGGCCTTATCGACGGCCCCTGATAACTTTTTCAGTACTAACCTAGTATAAGCCAGCCGTTCAAATATTAATCGGGAAGGCGACGATGCCGCACCTGAATTTACTTAACGACGCTTCGTGTCAGAACTCGCCGTTTATTAAAGACCTTTCCTTCTTTACCCCAAGATTGCCAATGTCGAAAACAATATTATTCGCCAATTTTTCTCTTGTATTTGCCTCCCGATGTTTCACCTTCTTTCACACCCAGCACGGCGAACTTTCCTCCCGTTTAATCTCCGGGTATTAAAAGAAACGTCTCGACGCCGCTTAGCTACTTCAACAGAATATTCGAACGTTAACGTTCGCCGTTATTTAAAAACCCCCGCCCGAAACAAAAGCGAGCGTTGCGACAACCCCCGAATGTGCATGGCGTAGGCGCGTGGCGTACACGTTGAAGGAGAGAGCGAAAATTGTTCCCGTTCGAGCAAGTGAACGAGGGAACGGAAAAAAGAAGAAATCGTCGATAAGTCGAGGGATATGTAATAACGTTACCATATGGTACACGCACGACAGGGTCAAATGTCGCTCAAATAACATAAAAGAGTGTGACAAACTTGGCCGACCTATCACATCCTCTTTCGTAATTGGAAACGAGCAAGCTGCAAAGTGTCTCGTGACGAAACGCTTCACGATTATAATTACGTACAATTACGGGTGTAACTGTAAGCTTTTCTTTCTAGATTAGTACACACGATAATAATATATAGTCTGTAAAATACATATGTAATAAAAGAAACGTACGTGTTTATACATATACAGAGAGATATAAGTGTTTATATATATATGTATAACTGGTAAATATAACAAAATTGTAAGCAATGTCATAATGCTGTCGCATCGGCGATATCTCGCGGCAGCGGCGTGTATTCCGTTACCAAACGTTAATGGGACGACGACAACACTGATACAAAAACTTAACGACGAATTGGACAATACGAGCACGGCACGTATAAATATATAGTGTGTGAAACGATCAATCGTCGATAGAGAAAAAAAAAAAAGAAAGAAAACAAAACAACGCTTGACGCGGACTCGCGAAAACTCCGAAGCGTGTTAATAGAAAACAAACCGGGTAATACTTGGGCGAATCTTCTATACAGATATATAAGAGCGTACACAAAGAGAACAGTCTGTCGCTGCATCGTTACTTCTTCTGTGATTTTTGTTTTTTTTTCTCTTTTTTTTTTTTGTGGTAAACTTTTCTTATCGTTTTCTTTCCTTTTCTGTAAGGGGGAGGATATTATTTTTCGTTGTTGTTCTTTGTTCGTTAAACATGGTAGAGATTGCGGCGGATACTTTGTACAGTGATGCCAAACAGTTGATGGTTTCTTTGGTCGCTTTTGTGCCAATTAGAATGATCGCAGCGAATTCGACGAGCACGAAAGAACGAATGTATCTGCTGGTGGGATTCTTTGAAACGCGGTCTCTATAAATCGTATTGATCCGGTTCTCGACTTGGTGGCGTGTTTTCCTTTCGACAAGATACAAAGAGAGAACTGTCATAAACAATTTAAACGGATTTACGGTAAACGTGATAAACAACGGGACACAGATTCGCGAACGGTCCAACATTATCCGGCAACTGTGGAGAAATTTGACGGAAATACAGCGTAAGATTCAGCAGATAAATCCCCTTCTAACGTCGCGAATTCGCCGATAACCGCGAGAAACGTTATGACATCGTGAGATGTGAATGCAAGGCGATCTGGTAAATGGTACCATTTTTTTTAGGAATGATGATATCGATGATTTTTGTAAACGCATGCCAATTAGAAGAAGTTTTAATCGTCCAAGCAGACAGTAGTGCTCTTTCACCGCAACCAAATAAAAAAAAATTATGTATATATATATATAATATGTATA